AAAATAGCAAGCAGGAAAAAGACCTAAACTCTCTCACTCTGATTTCTTTTTTCATACTTCATCACACAAGCCCAGCAGTGCCTGTGTGAGATTGTTGTTGAAGTTTCTCAGCCATAACTGTGGGGGGGAAAAAAATCAATATGCGAACCAAAAAAAAAAGTACCTGTTCTTTGCGACGGCCTCCTTTGCTCGGGTGAAATTGTGCATCTAATTCAATTTGTACGGAGCTTTCAATCCATGTGTGAAAGGAATGACTAAATGAAAGCATCCTCTGATGAAATGGATGTGTGACAGCCTTTCCCTGCAATGACCAAACCCGCCACTTATTAGGCATGATGGGAAAAACAAGTGCATCCTATTCAAATCTGAAAGGACTCATTTATTGACTGACCAGGGAGAATAATTCTGTTGCGGTGCCCTTGTTCCTCTTTTTTTTCTCTTGTCTTTTGGGTAGAAATTACAATTACGACTTTACTTTGAGATTAATCTTATATCTTCTCCACACCGCACGCTGATTCAGCTTCTGCCTGCTGGCTGTAATCTTTTGTGCTATTACAATTTCAGTGTTCAGTAAAATGTTGTTATCTATCAAATATCAAATATCACATTTAAACATGGTTGTGCAGCACTATTCCGAATAAGTTGTGATGCTCTGACAAATGTATATTAAAGCAAATTGCAATGGTCTGGAAATCATTTAGACACGATTTAATTTGAAAAAGCACACCCGACATATTAAGAAATGTTATAGGAGAGAAATGTTATCATTTTCTGAACAATGCTTTCATTGCATGCCCTGCGTGTCTTCCAAATGAAAAGATGAGGGTAATGTTACTCAATGGAAACTTTGGCAAATGGGAAGGAATTCATCAATCATTTACACTACATACTGTGATTAAACTATTCAGAAGAACCTCTGTACATGAAATACAAGGCCAAAAACCAGTAATGAATGGATCCATATGCCCCTAAGAAGAGTTACATTAAAAGTAATGAATGTGCTCAAGAACACTTATGAATGGCAATTTCAGTAAATCCAGATTGATACTGCATCTACAGCTGAAAATGTACTGTCATTAACATCTCATACTGTTTTTAAAGACACGAAAAAGCCAAGTGTGATGACCAAAAGCAGAAATGAACTCCTAGTTTCATGCTTTGAATCTGCAAAGCATCATGTGTGAGGTGTCACACAGCGGAATGGAAGAAGCAGCCCGCACTACTTGGAGGAACCAATGAAATGTGAAGCTGTAGGTATGTAATTTTTGTTGAAAGAACACAGACCAGGGATCAGTCATCAGAGGTTTTCTTCAAAATCTAGAAGTCGAAGGAAGGAGCCGTCTGAGCAACACTGGGGTGTTTTCGTGGTATTATTCATTGCTGATTTAAGTATTTGCTGGCTATGCAAGTAAAATTGTAGTAGGTTAATGCAAATATGAGAACAGAAAGAAGAGATAGAGGGGTTCTCCTCTGGAGGATGCTTTCTCATGTAAGGTTTTTCTTATTTGAGCAAGACAATCTCAAGTTCAGGTTTTATGGCAGTTCGCAAAATATGACACTGTTACTAAAACAAAACGTGATGCTGTACAGTGGTAAGTAACACTCCTCCCAAGTTTTTTCTAATTTTTAACATTGGACATGTTTTTCATTAGATCTGTTCCCCATGCGACCTGCCTTTCTTCCAAATAGAACTGAGATGGACTCCAGACTTTGGCGACCATACTTGGAATAAATAGGTATAGAAAATGGCTGGATAGATGTTTTTCAATGGACAATTGTCCCTCCAAGGTGAATAAACCTCATGTGCACAGAGTGATCAAACCTTCCATCTTAATCAAAATTTGGAGAGTCATTTGAATGAATAGGTTCTTCAATGGTAACTCCATCATGTATCGCACTCGGCTTCGCTAAAATTTTTGCTATGATTCCATAGTCACTTATGTCAACAATCAAAGGGGATAACAGCTTAGCGGTTTCCCCAAAAGAATAACTTTCTTTTGTTATTCTACTATTAAAGTATAAATATGAGGCTTTTACTAGTGAAACAAGAGACTCTGCTGTCTTTATAAGATTTACCAGCTCCATCATCCTTTACAAAGCCAACCCCTCTCTCCTTCCCTCCTCACTTCATTCTTACCACTTATGGCCTGTCATAATTCCATGGCTTTAGCTCACTTTTTGCTGTCAAGCTTAACTGCATGGCACAGCAGAGTAATAGACTATTGACTTTTTGTCCTGTATTTGCAAACAGGCCTGCACAGCCGGGACAAAAAAAAAAAAATTACGAAGCGCTTATGCTTCACTGATAATGTTTGTAATGGGCCTATTGGACTGCAGTTGTCAAAGCCGGGGTGGGCCTCCGAAAGAAAAGCTCTCCGACGCCTGCCGAAATTAGCATTTCCACCACTGCTCCTCTCCGTGGAGGATCAGGTGGTGAGACAGGTCGCGCCGAGGTTGTACGCCTTGTTTGTTTGCCTGCCTTTCCTCATTAGGCGCTCAGAGATTGACACAGCTGCCCTCCCCCCACCCCACCGCACCCCACTCCAATTCTCTCATTCTCCCCACCTCGGCCCAGATGAAGCTCTTTGGCTGAGAGCGGGCAATGATGAATCACTATTAGCCCGGGTCACGTCAGCTGACAGCCAATTTACAGGCCAGGAGAGGCTGACATCCAGCTAAATGTGAGCGTTTAACCGCTTCATCCTGAGGTAATGCCCGCTATTTTCTGAAGTGAACTTCAAGCACAGATAAAAGTTCGAGATGCCATATCTTTATTCATCTGTGCACCTCAAGCGGTGAAGAGGACTTCTGCATGAATACTGCAGCACAACTTCAGCGTTTGAAAAAAAACACTGAGCTCGGGGGGTTGGTCTGTTCTATGTGCGGGGGCATTCTGACACCTAGTGGTTCTGGAGATATGGAGCACTCACCGCCTGAGTTCCGGCGAGGAGTCAATTCGAGGGGGTTCGCTGCCTTCTAAATGAAAGCAGGCTGCTGTCGGACACATCCAGTGTGTCTAAAGGGAAGATGAAGATGATTTGTGGCCTTAGCATATGGCTCAGAAAGACCTCATAAAGATAAACACAATAAGTTAAATGCCCAGTCACGGAGTTCCCCTAAACCCTCCTGGTGTGAGTTGCAGAGTGTAACTATACTGCATTTGATGTGATAATGCAAAGAGGCTTGTAAAGATGTTATATAGTGTATTAAATCGCCCTTTTGCAAATACCAATAAAAACAAAGTTTTAGTGGGCAGCAGGATCAGAGCTTTGGACCTCAAAGACTGAGTTATTCCGTAGAGGGAACATCTGCTCTGAGCTAAGAATCTCCTTTACGATGACAAACACGCCATCTGTGATGCTGATTTTGAGTCCAAAATGCATACATTTCTCATTAGGAGCATCTTTGGAATAAAACAGAGTTCAGTTTGTGGTAACTTTTTACATGAGGACTTCATAGTGAAGTTTTTTTGTCCAAGTGACAAGTGCTCCTTTAGTCAGAGGTCTCAGAATAAGGCCAGAATTTCATTCTGATAGGCCTCTCCACACGTACGTTCCAATCAACGTGGCTCAAGAGATTGAAATGTCAGTCTGTGGCTTAGTCTGCGCTGAAATGTGTTTACAAACATCAGTCCGACAGCCAGTAAGTCTTGCAAATAGTCACGGTCCCTGAGGATAAATTCTTACCACCCACCATATCCGTTTTTCTATTTTCTTTCTTGAGAGTCAAACCTTTCTCATTTCTTTTGACCAAATCTGACCAATTACTCACAAAAGTATTCACGCTCCCAAGTGCTCCAGCCTCTTTGTGTTTTCTAATTATGCGAAACTAAAACCAGACTCATCATATTCAGCAGATATCATCATGTAGGACTTGTCACTTTATCCATCTCAAGGACAGCTTCCCTCGTCTGGCTGCAGAAATCCATTATCAATGCATTGTCAGCACTCATATTGCAGCACTCTAATCTGTTCATCAGTTATTCTGGATTTGTCGAAATGTGTCAGCATACACACACTTGTCAGTAAATGTAACCTAAAATTCTGAGGCCGTATTTATCATTCCGGTCTCAGTCCTATTCTTCAACTTCGTCGTTTTTCTGGTAGACATGACAAGCCAACTGCATCTTTGCAGGTGAAATGGGCCTTAAACTTTATTCATTAAAATGCTAATTTAGCATGAGGCTCCCCGAGTGTGGTCACTTGCTGTGAGAGCCTTGTGCTTTAGCAAAGACTTCTATGTGCGAGCTGATTCTGACCTGCAGGTCAGGGCTCTCATCAGGTGGCAAACTCAGACAATAAGAGCACAGCAGGGCAGCTTTAATAGGCTTCAACTCACTGACGGTGACAATAGAAATAATATTTTACCCCTTTCGACCATGGTTGGAGCACTGGACAGGTATAGACCAAATGGAAAATAAAGATATTTTCTTTGTATGGGCATCAGAAATGGAAACGAATGCCAATGGAGAGGTTTTTTAATAAATGTGTCTTGAGAGAAACGCACAAGATGACAAGAAATTGACTTTTGTTGTCATTTGTTATAGAGATATATTCATGTTTTCTTTGCAACAATGGAAAAGGTCATTAGAAAAGCTGGAACATGTTGTGACATAGGTTTTAATGTCGCTGTCCACCAGATGGCGACAGCTGAGGGTTCTGTGGAAGCCCAGCAAACTCTGCATAGAGGACAGAACACACTGGGGGGTATTTAATATTAGACACGCTACCATGGTTCTGCATTGCATGATTCTGTATTTATATCTAAATTTCATTATTTATTTATTAAAGCAAGATAATTGTTGTTACATATATAATGCAGATGAATCCAATGTGAAATATGACTTAATTTATTGAGAGAGCCAAACCTTTGCAATTCAACAATTCAATTCAAAACAGTTTTGAAGAGAACAGCATAGAATATTTCAACATAAAGTTGATTGAGCTGGAAAAGGCATATAGAGGGTTAAAGAGCTCCAGCTCTCGCAAGACTCCACCTCCTCAGGGTGACTCAGCAAAACAGGAAGAAGGAAGTGCTCACTGTTAGGCAAACAGTCCAGCTCAGGACAACAGCTGCCAGGTATGTTTAAATCCCCATTTCTACATATAAACATCCGTTCAACAGCAAAAGCTTGTGGGATTCGTGTTAGTTTTGTTTAGTTAGTGAACAGATCAGAGCCAGTGGCTGTGGTGTGGAGTGTAAATGAGAGGAGAGGCCTCCTGTGTGGGATCACTGTGTACTTTCGTTTTCAGGGGAAAAGCAGGTCAGCATGGCGGGCAGGCTCTCTCTGGCCGAGGTGGACCTCACCTGCTCCATATGCTGTGACATCTTCAGGGACCCGGTGGTGCTCAAATGCAGCCACAGCTTCTGCTCGCCCTGCCTGCAGCAGTACTGGACCCAGAAGGTCCAAAAGCGGGACTGCCCTCTGTGCAGAACCCAGAGCCTGGATGACCCGGTGCCCAGCCTGACCCTGAAGACCCTGTGTGAGTCGTGTGTGATGGAGGAGGAGGAGGACGAGGCTGCCGAGGAAACGGGACAGGATCTGTACTGTGAGCCGAGTGAGCTTTGCCCTGTTCACGGGGAGAGGCTTAAGCTTTACTGTCAGCAGGACAAGGAGCCCATCTGTGTGGTCTGCCATACCTCAAAGAAACACAAGCGACACGATTGTTGCCCTGTCAGCGAGGCAGTGGTGGATGCAAAGGTGAGTAAGTCTTTTGTGATCAAATAGACAGACGTTATTACTTGGAGATGCTGCATTAACCCACCTTATAAGATGTCAGTAGATATCATCTGTGAGAATTTGGTTGAAAATTAGATTAACCCCCTCTTTAACTGTGTGCGCAGGAGAAAATGAAGTCTGCTCTCAGCTCCTTGCAGGAGAAGAGGGACACATTTGACAAAATGAAGAAAAACTACGAGGATACGGTGGCACACATTCAGGTGTGACGTTTCTTAAAAACACCCATCCTGTTCACCAGCCCCAGTGTCCCAACCATACTTATGCAGGTTTTTCTTTCCAGGCCCAGGCTCGGTTTGTGGAGAGGCGAACCCATGAGGAGTTCGAAAAACTCCACAGATTCCTTCAGGACGAAGAGGAATCCAGGATGAATGCGCTGAGGAGGGACGAAGAGCAGAAGAGCGCTGAGATGAGACAGAAAATCGAAGAGATGGAGAGAAACATTTCATCTTTGTCTGAAACCATCACTGCACTGGAGGAGGAGATGGCTTTGGAGGACATACCTGTCCTTCATGTAAGTTTGCACAAGTAAAAAAAATAAAAAATCTGTATAAATTATTTTTCAAACATTTAATTTGCCTATTTTCCTATTTATTTTCTTTAGAGATGCAAGAGAACACTAGCAAGGTAAATATATATTGTGTGTGTGTGTATATATAAAAAAATCTATATTATTCTTTTTTAAAGTTTGACATGTCTTTGCTGTGACACTACAGAGTCAATTGTCAGATTGAAGATTGTCAGGTTGAAGATGGGATGGGGAGACTGACTCCTGGAGTGCTCATAGATGTGGCCAAATATGTGGGCTCTTTGGCCTTCCATGTGTGGGAGAAGATGCGCAAATTAGCCAAATACAGTGAGTTCATATCAGTGTACTAAAACCATACAGATACATCTGCACACACACACATGTGCAAAATGCATCTTTGTGCCACCGCTTGTGGAAAAGCGGTTTAGGATGAAACTGGTCACAGCTGACAATCTGCCATGTTTCCCCTCAGCCCCGGTCACTCTGGATCCCAACACGGCGGCCCCCTGGCTCGTGCTGTCAGACGACCTAACCAGCGTCCACGACAGTGACGAGAAGCAGAAGCTGCCCGACAACCCGGAGAGGTTCGACCCTGACACGGCTGTCCTGGGCCGCTGGGGCCTGGGCTCCGGCCAGCATGCCTGGGTGGTGAACGTGGGAGATAACACGGCCTGGGTCGTGGGCGTAGCTAAAGAGTCTGTCAAAAGGAAAGAGAAAGTGTCTTCGGTCCTGAGTAATGGCTACCTGTGCGTGTACTACTATCACAAGATGTACTTTGCCGGTACCTCCCCTTTGACGCGGCTCAACTTGAAAAACGCTCCACAGAAGATCAGGGTGCAGCTGGACTGTGACAAGGGGAAGGTGTCCTTCTTCGATCCACATAGCAACACAAACATCTACACGTTCAAGCACGCCTTCACCGAGGCCGTCTTTCCTTACCTCTGGGTGGGATGCCAGGATTGTCCTCTAACAGTTGAGCCAACTGAAGTTTCTTTAACTTTTGGGGAGAATCGTTAAGAGTCCACCTCAGCTCTGGTTATTTTTCATCTTAAAATGAATCAAATAAGAAAAATTTAAACAAAAAACTATTTTTGAGTTGTTGATGAACTTTCACCTGGATTTGTAATGCTAAAAATAGATCAGGTGAAAGGTGATATATATGAAAACATATCTTTGTGCTACTACTAAATATTCCTTGCTGTTCTTTAGCCTGATCGTGTTAATAAGGACTGACTTGTGGAAAACACTAAATAAACTAGTAGTAAATTCTAATAGTTTGCAGATGATTTTTGTGTTTTTTCCTGTTGGGTGACATTTTATTTTTCAGTTTTACACATTAATCACTAAACATTAAACACATTGAGCACTAAACAATTAAAAAATGAGTATTTTGTCTGTTTTAACAGATAAATTAAACCCTCTTGGTCTCAGAAGTTTATATTACTCTTTCTAACAGAATCAACAGTTTACTTCTATGTGCCACTTTTCCTGTTTACTTTTTCAATCCCTAAAACATTTAATTCTGATTCAAAAGTGAACTTCCATACTCCACCGTCTTCCATTACTTCAAAAGTAACCACCATCCTCTTTATTTTGCTCAAATTTTCTCATTATGTTCAATCATTCAGAATTAATGCTCAGCTCTCACACCATAACTCACAGTCCCACAGTTTTGTCCTTTTTTCTGCAGCTACTGTTGGCTAACATCTCTTCTTTTGTTCTCATTCCCAGAAAAATTTACTGTAAAATTCTTAGCTTCTGAATGAACCAGACCATTCCACATTTTCCATGAGAAAATAACCCTTCATTTCAAATAGTTTGGCAGATCTCATTAAATCGTGAGGCCAGATTTATGGCCAATAATCTTTTTCAGAAGTTGAAAAAATAAGTTCTAAGAGGTTCTCTTTGCACCTACCCAGCCCTACATGGATCAGCATTACTCGGTTTAGGTGGTTTTTCAATTCAAATTTGGGTGGAGGAGTAAAGTGTAAGATTCACCAACTTACTGTCCATTTGTTCCAAAGCGGGATTACGGCCTGTTGGAGATTCCAGCGGGAACTCTTTAAAACTTTGCAGCTTACAAGGTAAAAACACAGCCAAAATATGTGAGATGGTTGTCAAAGTTACTTTATTTTGGTTATTTTGTTAACAGTCAGTGAAAATAAGTACTTTTGTTTTTCTTTCAGATGAATCAAATTGTTTAATTTATGAAAAAAGTGTTTCCGATAAGACACTAATCACCCTGCAGAATAAAGTGTAAAAACAGGTTTGATCATCGGTTAGATTTTCATTGGTAGAGACACACCAACGGCAATGTGCTTCACAGTGCAAGCATTTATTTGAAAATAAATTGCACACTGTTCATTTGAATTGAGTACAAAAGGAAAACTGCCTGAAAGGATTTTGACATGATTGTATATTTAACCGAACCAGCTTGTATGTAAATTTGCTCATACAGGAGGAATGTAACAGATGAAAAGTTCCCATAGGCTGTTTCGGGTTGGAAAATACAGTACAAAATAAGACAGCAGTACAGAAAATTATATCCCTGAAAATATCTTCACCGTGTTACACAAAAGAGCACTTCAGCCTAAAAGACTGTCTGGTGGGAAAAGTGCTCTTTAAAATATGTTTTTTGTGTATTTTTTTCATATTTGTCACAGAGATACACAACACTGAATGAAGAACATATTTAAAGACATTTAGTGATGACGCATAAGACACTGTCCATTACTGATATATAATGTTTCCCTTATGATTAAATAGTTATTAAAAAAGGAAGAAATGGAGGTGTTTTGTCAGACGGTTACCATTTGAGGCAATAAACAGGTGGGCAGTAAATGATTTGCTTGATGTTTTTTTTTTGTTTATTTCCTTAAAAACATCTTCCTTAGAAGCATCTGTGTGCCAAAGAAAAAAAATATAAAACTCTTTAGTGTTTAAGTCCATTATTCTAAAACTCCATGTCTCAGAGCTATATTAGATTTAATGTTGTTTAAAAACGTATACAATGGTTCACCTAAGAAGGCTGTACATTGCTTTTATATACAGTATGTGTAATTTTTCCTCATAAGATGTGCAATTTTGCATTTATATTTTGTTTCTGAAATAATCCAAAAACCAAAGCCACAAGAAATAAAACAAACAAAATAACTTTTCTCGTGATGTCAAAAGTTGGAAATGAGAAAGAATACAGCCATAATAGCAGATGTAAACGAAGGTATTAATAATACCGCTCTTCAACTTATTGTCTTGGAAAAGAGATGAGCTCCTCTCAATTAATCTAAAAAAAATCAGATGAAGAAAGCGTTTGGCCAGCAGGTGGCGCCTAATGAAAGGTTCACTTCTTACGTAATGCTTTGGACTATGCAGCCTGACCAAGAAACACTGAGTAAAATCAAAATTAAAAGGTATCATAGGAGCCTGGAAAGAAAAAATAAGTAAATCCACATATCAGATCTCCAAACAAGGTCACAAACATGACATCACTTCTTTTATCTCTTGGTGTACTAGAGGCAACTGTCTCCAGCAGCCATGAACCAAGAGCTTTGCTTTTCCCTTTTTAAAGGTGCACACATTTTTACAATTACAACATGCTGCCAAACAACCCATGTGACACTGCACAAGTAAGCAAAAACAAAGAAAAGGAGCCAGGTGGGGGCACGCAGGACACAAGGTGAGCCGGCAGAAGGCCTGTTCCTACTCACAGGCCAACTTGCTGTCGAAGCTCGACAGGCCGATGGCGAAGGCTTGAAGGGCGCACATGGGGTAGTTGTAGTCCAGCGTGAAGATGTCTTCGGCCACTCTACCAAACTGCATGACGATGTAGTCAGCTGCAGCAAAAGGCAACATTCAGTGGGATCGATATTCAGCACTGAGCTCCCCTCAAACCAATCAAATTCCTCACGTTATCAGAATAACAAAGGACTCGGACTGTGTCATTCCCTCGTCCCTCTTTAACACAGGCAGAGAAAGAGCTACTTACGGTCGTTGTCGTGAACTATTTGAAAGTTTTTCACGGAGGCCTGTGTTACGCGGCCGTGGAAGTTGAGCACGTAGGACTGGGTGTCGTCGTTCCACACCGGAGCCTTGTTGTGCAGCTCGATCAGGTTCTCCAGCGAGTGATTCTGCCACCTGCTCAGGAGGCTCTCCTGCTCCTGGGTGAAAAAGACGCCCACCTTACTCAGAGTGAGTCAAAGCACGCGACATCTTTAAATAGCTCTAGAATCTGAGAATGGGAAGACAGCGACGGCTCCATTCCAGATACTCACGTTCTGAGGCCTGACAGGGACTCTCTCGAAGTTCATGTTCATGCTGGGGATGATTACAGTCATTTTACGCGGCCCTTTGAACCCCAGCACATTGGTTTCCTGCCAAAATGTTCAAATGATGTGAATATTTGATTTCTTATTTATTTTTCCAAGTGGAATGAAAGGAAAAATTGGTCACTCACATAGCAGATGGCAGCCAGCTCCTGCCGGGTGTCGCTTTCTTCCAGCAGAGTCCCGGGGTTTTTACAGGGGTTGGTGCCGCTGTTGTACACTGTGAATTTGGTGCCCATGAGGTTGGACCTTAAAGGAAACACAGAATGGCAGAAGCAAAAGCACAATAAGTTGACTTTCCTTAGCCCGGGCTCCTTAAATCAAGTGGGAGAACCCCTCATACAATGTGATTTCAAACATCGCTACGACAGTTGTTATCTGAAATGTTGGTTTTACCTTAGTTTACCTATAAAGCTCTCCCCCTCTCTTGACAGATCAGTGGCATCCACCGAAATAAGGTAGTTAGATGTTTTACTTTTCTTTCTTTTTCTTCCTGCCAGCAAGAACACCTGAACAGAACGGTGGCAATTGTCAGTGCGACGTCTGATTGGTTTGCAAGTGGAAGAACAGACGATTCTTTGCTCACCCGCTTGCCATCCTCTCTTTCCATATGCATGAAATAGGTGGGGTAGAGGCCACGATCCATGCCCTTCTTATCTCGGGTGATGCGGCATTTCACAGTGACACCTTGGGGCGCGGGGCGCAACACAAACTCCTCTAGGTCAGCGATATCTGCTAACAGGCTTTCTGCTGTGGGGGATCCAGGAGTGACCATTTCCTGGGTAGAAATGGGACAGAGTCCATGAATTTCTGACATGAGACTGTCCCCGAGCAGGTGAGTGGTTTTGTAAAGTTACGACCACTCACTGGAATGTCTTTGCCACTAGCAGCCGAGTCGGGCCTGGTGGCGTCTGTGTGAGAGGACTGCGACCGCGTCCGCTCTTCCTCCGTGTCGTCCTCGGGCTCGCTGGCTTCATCAAAGTTCATGCTTCCACACAGACCTGATAGAAGTACGAATAGAACGATGTGCGAATGAGAGAGAGCTTAAATGATGCATGAAGGTTATTACTATTCATCCTGCTGGGTAGCTTATTCATACAAGCTGGAAGGGGGGAAAATGGTCTCAGAGGCTGTGTATTTCCACCACTACAAAAGAATATTTTATTAATTCCCATGAGCTTCTTAAGTTTTAGTTCAAAACCTTTCCCTCAGGCGGATCTAACTTCTCTTTTTGGGTGGGTTTAACTAAGGTCTTTGCTGTAAGATGACATCATAGTCAAGAGGTGATGCAATGCATAGAAAATACATGAAGAGCAATTTATTGGAACATTAGAGGGGGTATTTGCTCTCGTATCAGGAGATAAAAAGAAAGAGAAAAAATTATGATTTTAGTGATTTTGAAGTTTTTCAAGAATGATCCAGTTCAATCTAAAAACATGACTGTTAGGTTTTACTTTCATCTTTCAACGACTACAGACAGCAGCTTGCTACGTATCCCAGAGCCATGCACTCAAGCAGATACCAAATGATTCTGGCAGACTGAAGCTTGTCTGGACTGTTTGAGAAGTCTGATAATTGGATTTTTCAGCTAGAATTTTTCGTTTGGCTGCATCCACAGCCTCACTTTATTCACTGTCAGAAGTAGTACATTTGATTTTTGATATGGCACCATTATGGATGGTATGATAGACAAGGATGCGCTGCGAAATAAGTTAAAAATATACAAACCCCTCACTCATGCTGGCACAAGGTAGGAAAGCAATGGTAAAATTGCAACTAAAGCCCATAAAACTGTTTTCTATTTGGTCATATGGACACAGATGGGTTTGAGAAGACAATCACCACCGGACTAAACTTCCAGGCTTCCTCTGAGAATCTTTCGGCTCAGAATACTTTATTTTCCATGAATGTGTAAAAGTCAGACATCACCTCAGCGTTATACTGAAATGTCAATCATAGCAAGGACTGAAGAATGGCCTGGATAACATTAGACTTTATCTGAATGATTGCCATTCTGAACTCGACTATTTCTTTCTCTTGTGCAGACAGGTGGTTTCTCTCATCACAATATATGACACTGAATTAATGTAATGTTTTAACATTTGCCTGAGAATATGACCACTTAACTAAATGCATTGGAGAATCACTCCACCAAAAAAAAAAAAAAAAATGATACGGGAGTGGTTTGGCTTTTGGTGATAGGAACAAAGATAACTCACCTTGTTTCTCTAACATCTCATGGATGCTTGTCTTGGGCTCGAGCAGAGTCTCTGTGTCTCCGTCTCTCTCCGTTTCATCTGCAGCGGGCGACTGGGGCTGAGACTGAGGCTTGCACTGAGACCGAGGGGACTGAGACTGGGATTGAGAATGGGGTTGGCTCACGGATAAGATTTGGATTTTCATTCCCAGATCAGGGGCGTCTGAGCCGAGGAAAGCAGCGGGGCCATCAATTCCTAAACCAGGGGAAAGTAATTAGTAGATAAGGCAGCTGTTAAGTTCCCCTACAAAGAGCTTATTAGAAGTAAGCATTTGTCAACATGCCAGCTCTGTTGGACCTTGATCCTCATGCAGGCTAAAAAAGCTACTTAAATAATAAAAATAATTATCTTTAAAAGATTTCATTAAGCCCTTATCAATGGGAAACATAGCATTTTCAGTCTGCAGTTCACCTTAAGAACCGTAGCAAACTCCCAGAACAGAACAGCAGCTGTCCTTGCCAGGCATCCAAGAGTATGAAATATGAAGAGTTGAACTTGACAGGACCCTGATATGAAGTACATCTACTGGCTTATATATGTGTGTTTAGCAGCACAAACGAACCAGGAAAACTAAATCAAAGTTGAATATTTTTTGTCTCCTTTTCATTTAGTAATGATCAGACCACCTATTTATCTCTACGAATGGAAGTAATGCTGGCTGTCCATGTTTATAGTGACTTCTAAATTGACAGGCTTGACTGAGTATTATTAAAAAATCATTATTTTTTCGGCAAATTATCAAAAATTGCTTGCTCTAACTGTAAACTTATCTAATGAACAACAGCAACTTTGTTGTCCTTCCAACCTAGTCAGCCTATTCTTTGATAATTATATGCACTGTTAAACTAGTAACGTAGATAATATGTGACTTTTGTAGATCATACCTTATCTTTCGTGTCCCTCCTGTAAATAGCCGTATAATTGCTTTTATCTGCATAGCTTTTGCTTTTTGCAAGTCACCCAATAACTATATACATGTGTGCTGTATATATTTATGCTCTAAAGACTACAGTCCCACCATTTTCATCAAGTGGTCATCAGACCACTTAAATTCTTACATCAGTGTTACAAAACTAAGAA